TCTTCCCAAAATGTGTTCATGCCTCCCTGTGGCTAGTACAGACAGGCTGAGCACTGAGATCCTCAGTGCCCAGACAACTTGGGGATGCCTGTCCCCCTCCTCTCCAACCCCACAGCTACCTGAGGCTGCTCTGAGAAATACACACAGGAATACATATGCTCCTCTCCCCTTCCCTTAATCCTCATTTCAACTCCAGGTGTCTTTCCTGCATATAGGGAGCAGCAGGAGATTATTCTCACCAAAGTTATGTCAAGCCCCATTGGCCCCTGGAGTGAGTAGCTGGAGGGGAGCCAACCCCCAACAGGCACAATTAGGCCCCCAGCCCCAGCAGTGTGCAGGCTGATGGGGTTGAATTATTTTCTCTTATCCCCTGCCTGACCAAGACAACATGGGGAGGTCAGAAGGAGAAAAGCATACGCTATGGACCATAGGTGATGGAATATAGGGCCCAGATGGACCAAGAGAAGGGGGTGAACAAACACCCTACCCTGTGCCCCCTCTTTGGTGAGCAGCAGCCCTGGGATCACAGACATGGAAGGGACCACCCTGGGGCTGACTGCTTTCCTATGTTGTTGGTTCCCAAAGCTAGGAGGAAGCAGGGAGCAGTGCCCTAAGCATGGCTCCCCCAACACCTATTTATTTCCTTTGTGCTGATGCTGGGCAGGCCCCCACTTGTCCCTTTCAGACACCCTGAAGGGGCAAGGGGCTGAAGAGGGCCAGACCCAGGTTCCAGGGGCACAGGCAGTGCAGCTTTTGGCTGTGTACATAGGGTGCTTTATTCTCCACAGTGATACATGCTGAGATGGGTTGGGCTTGGGCCAATGTCCCCATATGTACAGAACTGAATAAAGTGGGTCTCTGAGAAGAAGTCTGATTTGCCTTGATGTGGAAAGGGAGATGGAGAATATGAAGATGGACATTACAACCAGGGATGTGTTCAGTCCTATGCTAGTTCTGGCCTGGAATGCAGGGAGATAAGGCAGCTCTCAGGGTAGTCACTTCCAGGCTGGGG